TTCATGCTCTTCTTCAGGCTCTGTTGTGGTCAGTTTATTCAGGACAATTTGCAGTTATTTAGTGTTACTATTATTAGGCTATTATTAGTATAGTATTTATTATATGCATATTTATATTTGTTTTTATAATGTTTTTGTTTGTATTTATCCACCTGTCGGGAATAAGAACAATAATATTAGACCATGTGCTGGCACACTTTTTTTTTTCTATACTTAAAATGGCAATAGTGGATTAAGGCACACTCTTAGTACTTTTGTGCCATCTGCTTTAGACTTTGAGCTTCATTAAAATCATTAAAATAGAGCTTCATGAATAAGTCAAAACTATGGTTGGTCAAATTTAGATAAACATCCAGTGCATGAAATAAATGTAATTTATCACACATTTCTGTGATATTGCAATAACAATAATTTTGCTCTATATTGTGCAGCCTTAATATGTTAATACATAATTTTTCCGGCAATATACAACACTTCAGACTGCAAAAATCTATGACAAAAATGCATCTGTTCACTGTTTTTTTCTGTTATTAAGTGATAAAAAGAGATACTCAATCAAAATCGCCTCTGCAAAAACCTTTTAATATGTCCAAAAAATGAAACAAGCTTTTGAACCTGACTCCGACATTCAAATTGTTATCCTAAAAATGTATGCAAATTAGCACAAATTTTACAAAAAACTGCCTTATTTACATATTTAAACAATATTTTAGAAAACTGGCAATACAAAATAAATACAGATTCTAATCTAATCAATAAACCTATAAACTCTGGTGATAAATATAATTATTTTATTTAAAATTCTATTAGTAACTTTTTAAACCCTATATCAGCAGTGCCTTGCCATAATTAATGTGCATGAAAGCTACTACACTACTTGACAAAAGTCTTGTCGCCTATCCAAGTTTTAGGAACAACAATTAATAACTTGTCTTCTAGTTGATCGTTTGGTATCAGAAGTGGCTTATATGAAAGGCAAAGGAATCTAAATTATGCTTATTTTACCAAAATAAAATATGATCATGCTTGATTTTTACATATTTAATTAGGAGAGTGTTGTCTGGTTTTCCTTAGACTAAAGTCTTGTCACTTAACAGAAATAATGTACAGTATAGAATATAAAGTCATGGTGCAGTGGAAAAAGAGTTAATATTGTGTCTGACTCCTATGAGCTTGAAGGACTGCATCCATATATCTCTGCAATGACTCCAATAACTTATTGATAAAGTCATCTGGAATGGCAAAGAAAGCGTTCTTGCAGGACTCCCAGTTCATCAAGATTCTTTGAATTCATCTTCAATGCCTCCTCCTTCATCTTACCCCAGACATGCTCAATAATGTTCATTTCTGGTGACTGGGCTGGCCAATTCCCGCCTGGAATTTGCCCTTTCCTGTGGTTTGTAATGTACAAATGTCTTGATACCTCAGGCTGTTGTTGTTGCCATCCACTCTGCAGATCTCTTGCACGCCCCCATACTGAATGTAACCCCAAACCATGACTTTTCCTTCACCAAACTTGACTGATTTCAGTCAGAATCTTGGGTCCATGCGGGTTCCAATATGTCTTCTGCAGCATTTGTGATGATTGAAATGCAGTTCAACAGATGATTCATCAGAAAATTCTACCTTCTGCCACTTTCCCAAATAAGATTTCTTGCTGATTTCTCACAAATGAGATCAATGACAAGACTTTTGTCAGGTAGTGTAGTCATTATAAACTATTATACAGATGACACTTCATCTAAAAATGTTGATGAAGAGGAAGTGAAATTTGATTGGTAAGCTCAAGTAAATGTGTTGTAAACATTAAGCTCATCCTGTTTGCAGCACAGAGAGTCTCCCCAACCCCTCCACCCACAAGACTTTCATAATGCTCTCATAGTGCCTGTGTGCTGCAGAACTGACCTTTTCTTTATGACAAAACTAGCAGCGCTGTGGTTAGGCATACAAGCTTGTTGTTTACATCTGTTCTGAGAGGAGTTTGTTTGCAAACCAGCAAAAACAACTTGTGAGTTGAAAGGTCACTCGAAATGAAGTTTATTGAACTTCAGACTTGACATAAAATGATTTCAGACTTGACTCAACAAAAATATAATATTATTAATATTTTTAAAGCAGCTCAAGACTTTTATCATCTCCTGTTGATATCATTTACACTGATATACAGGTGAAGTCAGAATTAATAACCCCCTTTTTTAAATGTTTCCCAAATGATGTTTAACAGAGCAAGGGCATTTTCACAGTATGTCTGGTAATATTTTTTCTTCTGGATAAAGTTTTATTTGTTTTATTTCGGCTAGAATAAAAGCAGTTTCTATTTAAAAAAAAAAAAGCCATTTTAAGGTCAAAATTATTAGCCCCTTTAAGCAATTTTTTTCCGATAGTCTACAGAACAAGCCATCATTATACAATATCTTGCCTAATTACTCTAACCTGCCTAGTTAACCTAATTACCATAGTTAAGCCTTTTAATGTCACTTTAAGCTGTAGAGAAGTGTCTTGAAAAATATCTATTCAAATATTATTTACTGTCATCATGGCAAAGATAAAATAAATCAGTTATTAGAAATGAGTTATTAAAACTATTATGTGTTGAAGAAATCTTCTCTCCGTTAAACAGAAATTGGGGAAAAATAAAAATTAACAGGGGGGCTAATAGTTCTGACTTCAACAATATGTTTGCAACTTTTTATTATAGCCAATGGCCAGCTGCTAGAGCCATTGCATCACTACAGAGGCTCTAGTTGCCATAGAAACAGACAGTCTTGAGACACATATACTGTGTACATACTGTTCCAGTCTAAATATAAGCATTTTATATGCTATTTGAGCATGTATGGTGGTCTTCATCACATGTTATATATGTTTAACTGCAAATTCAAACATAAATCAACATTTTAAAAATTTTATTCTATAAATGAAGTAAAATATTTTTGATATGGCTATATAGATCTATGCATCTAGTGGATATTATTATTTTTATTATTATCCACATGGTGATCCCTAGTTGCCTTTATTTTTAATGCAACACATTAATAGCATTATTAAATAAAATAGAAGATGTATGTGAGTGTGTGTGTGCACGCTTCATTAATTGAATAAAAATACAATTATTTTACAATTACATGATTAATGTGTAATGAAAATTCAGTTTTTATCAGATAATCTTCGAATATAAATGTTTAATGCCATCACATGTATTTTTTGTCTTATTAACTGATTCACATGTTCTTCTAAAATTCTAGTAACATCACTGCTCATGCCTGGAACACACAGTTGAAGTCAGAATTATTAACCCCCCTGAATTATTAGACCCCCTGTATCCCCCCCCCACCCCCCCCCCCATTTCTGTTTAACGAAGTGAAGATTTCTTTCAACACATTTCTTATCATAATAGTTTTAATAACTCATTTATAATAACTGATGTATTTTTTCTTTGCTATGATGACAGTAAATAATATTTGACTATATATTTTTCAAGACACTTCTATACAGCTTAAAGTGACTAATTAGGTATTTAGGTTAACTAGGCAGGTTGGTGTAATTAGGCAAGTTATTGTATAACATGAGTTTGTTCTGTAGACTATGCGAACTTAAAGGAGCTAATAATATTGTTCCAAAAATGTTTTTTAAAAATTTAAAACTGCTTTTATTATAGCCAAAATAAAACAAATAAGACTTTCTCCAGAAGAAAAAAATATTATCAGACATACTGTGAAAATTTTCTTGCTCTGTTAAACATCATTTGGGAAATATTTAAAAAAAAATAATAATAAAGGGTGGCTAATAATTCAGACTTCAACTGTATATATTTCATTTGTAACACTTTACAATATGGTTGTAGTAGTTGATGTTAGTTATGAACAAACAATGAACAATACATTTATTACAGTATTAATTCATTGTGGTTAAAGTTAGTTAATGGAAATAAAGTTGTTTATTATTAGCTTTTGTCACTGTGCATAACTAATGTTCACCAGAATGAATTTGGATTTTAATAATGCATTAGTAAATGTTGAACTATTATTATTCATTATTAATTCATGTTAACAAACTAATGAAACCTTATTTTTATTTATATCCAAAAACCTTTTTTTTAATATATATATATATTTTGCCTACTGAAATGCAGTTTAACTTTGAAACTATTTAACTCTTTTACAAAAAAAAAGGCTTTAAAAACAACTGAAATTTGTAAATTAATGTAATAATTGTAAATAATCTTTTTCTTTAATGTGTGATGTAAATACCTCTTCTGTTTTTTTTTTTCTTTTTTAAAAATGATTTCATTTTGACTTTCCATTTTCTTTATAATGTACTGCGATTGTATATTTTTACTTTTTGGATGAAAATAAAAAACAATAATACAAAATATTTATAACTGTAAAAAGGATTTTGAAGTATAAAAATACATTTTCAAGAGGCATGAAATGACTTTGCATTTTACTTGTTGAAAAACTAATCGTTCTTTTGAGCTTACTTGTTAGATTAAAAAAACATTAGCTGCAACACCATCTGCACCACCATCTGCACCACTATCTCTAACCACATGATATTATATAATAGGCTATATAGTTTTTTTTAGTTGCAGCACTTAAAAAGTACATTTTATAAGCATTTTCATTTTAATGATCTGGAAATAACCTGGCCAAGGTAAATGCTAATTTTAAACCACTTAATTTTTGCATTTAGACTTGTCTAACAGGCAACATTTACTATTTTGAAAATTGTATTGTTTCTAAAAACTCAAAAACAAGTACAAGAACATGAATGCTAAAGTCTGTTTTTTAGTCGGAATTTAATGAGGTATAACTTCATTGGGTTTGACAACGTGTCAATAAACTTTCAACCCCCCAAGCAAACTCTGCTTCTCTTAATTTTTCTTTTTGCATGTAATGTAGTTCACAAACTAACACCTCCCACTGTTTCCTGCCGCGAACAAGTGGAACTTAAAAAAAGAAAGAGGTAGCAGAGCAGAAAAGAAACGTTACAGAGCCGCTGCATATTTCAACACAGCACTTCTCTTAAACACACCAGTCTCTTTGGAAAATGACTTCAAACAACACTACAGTCACAGACTGCGGTACATCACATTTTAGATATCCACTTTTTACTTCTACCTACACCGTTGTGCTGCTGTTTGCGCTGCCGCTGAACTGTGTGTCTCTCTGGATACTTGTTTGTCGGAATGGCTTGAAGAAATCTGTTCCAGTGATCTACATGGCTAACCTGGCCTTGTCGGACCTACTTTTCACGCTATCGCTGCCCTTTCGGATCATTTACTTCGCAACAGGTAAATGGACGCTGGGAAATACCCTGTGCATGATTCCGGGGACCTTGTTCGCCGTCAACATCTACTCCAGCTCCTTCTTCATCATGCTCATAAGCGTGGACCGCATGTTGGCCGTGGTGTATCCATTAAGATCTCGCTCTTTGCGTACGGCACCAGTGGCCTGGATGTTTTGTGCTTTGGTGTGGTTGCTCATCGCTGGACTCGCCGTGCCAATCGCTCAAAATCACCCTGAAATCAACGACACCGCCTGTAACATCACACGCTGCTTTGAGAAGTACTCAACTGATAGTTGGAACAACGGTTTCAAACTCATCTGCCTTGCCACTTTCTTCGGTATGTTAGTGCCTTTCTCCATCATTCTGGGTTGTACGGTTGCAGTGGTGCGGCAGTTGAGAGGATACAGCATGGCAACTTCCTCCTTCAACGCCGAGCTGAGCAAAAGCAAGATTGTCAAGCTCTTTCTCTCTAATCTGCTCATCTACACCATATGCTTCATACCCTTCCATGTTATTTACATCCTCTTCACTCTGGTCAAGCTTGAAATGTTGCATAATGGTAGTCACCTTGAGGTTTACTTTAACCTGCACAACATTACCCTATGCTTGGCCAGCACTAACAGCTGTTTAGACCCCTTGATCTACTACTTCAGCGCAAAGAATATACAAAGTCGGAGCAGATGCGGCTCTGCGTCCAAAACTGTCGGCCTCGGCTTGGTTCAGAGCACGAGTTGGACTGGACAATAAAGAACCAAATTATCATGTTGAGTGGTTGAGGTAAACAAGCTCATTGTGTTAGAGGAAATGGTTACGCAAGAAGAACCAAACCAAAGTAAAAAACAAAAGCTGACTCATGCGAGAGAGGAGAGCTCATGTTTATCATATGAAAGCTGAAGATAAAAATGTGAGAAACGTTGATTGACCCATAGAGGGATCAATACCTGCTAATGTGACATGAAATCTTCAATGTGATCAGACTGTAGCAGGTTATTTCGATGCTGTATAACCGCTTATCACTAAGAGCCAATAGTGTAGCGATGATTATTGCCCATTGTTGTCGCTTATCACTTTGACTACTTGACCTTTTGTGAAGCTATTTGCTGCTTTGTATCTTCTACTAGCATTATCATGTTTGTCTTTTTTATAATTGTATTATTGAGGTGTGCATTTTACTCGTTTCATATCAGACAAGATTGCAATGACGTTCAGAATAGCAGCATTTATTGCCATTTACTTGTGTCATACGTTATATTGAAATAAACATGCTTATTTTTGAATTATTTTAATTCAATCTTTTTTTTTTATTATTAAATTTTGATGTAGAAAACATGCAATGGAGGTTTCACGTGGGTGCAAATCTCACAGGTTACCAAAAGGAAGTGAAACATTCAAGTCAACAGCATTAAAGTGCACACCCTCTCCTCGTTTTCACACCAGCCAACGCTGTATTTTGTGGTTTGTGTGTTCTGAAAGTTCTTGCACGCAGGTCCTTAAATTAGATGTAAGAATCTCAACTGAAAGCGAATAGGGTTTCAGCAGTTTATTGACAGATTTTTCTTACAAGCGATTAGAGAGAGCAGCAGAATAGAGTGCATCAAATCAAACGCCTCATTTATTTCAGACAAAACCAGTTCTTTGCTACACCATTATGTGGAAGAGGAACAAACACACATAAATGGTACGACTAGAAAAAAAGTGCAAGCAATATGAAGTGAATCTAGTGGATCTGCCTTGGGCATGAACATAAAAAAAGAGAAAGGACTACATTTACGCACATCTGTGCCAAAAGACAATTCAAATCAGCCATTCTGATCAGTATGCGCGCACACACACACTGCATTTGAAGATAAGGAACCATTTCAGTTTTTAAAATTTTTCTACAAACTTTATTCACAAGTATTAAAGAGCAATGCTTGGAGCATCAGTTGACAAACAAGACGACAAACCGATGAAATTCAAGATAGGAAATCCAAGATAAGAAAACGTATATTGCTTAGATCACGTTCAAACCTACGCTATGACTTGAAGTCATTTCTAAAATATGAGGTATACATCTTTTGGCATTGAAGATGATTTTCTAATACTGGATTTCTTTGCTAACACAAGAGGAAACAAACAGATAAAGAAACCACTTAACCAGCCGTCAGTCTACACAAACCGAGGCTTGACACAAAAACAAACAAACAGAAATAATGCAAATCATTCATCAGCGATTGCCAGACTAAAAATGTCTGAAGCTAATCTCAACTTCTTTCCCCACAAGAAGAAAAACAACAACACACACATAACCTGAGAGTGAAATAAAACGTTATACTACAGACAATGTGCAAATCAAAAACTAACAAAGACAAAAATATATATATAATGAAAAAAGTAACAGTTTATCATTAGAAAAAAAAGACAAACAGAGAACAGACATGGCTTTATCTAACATTATTTACAGGTTTATCAAGCTGATAAAGTGCTGTTAAGCTGGACAGATGGTTTGGGTTTTGCTCAGTAGATTGGAGGAGATAGGAGAGGGAAACTACAGCAGGAGTCGTTCACAGATCTTCGTCTCCACAGCAAATGTGTTCTCGAAGTGCCGGATGGTGTGGCAGTTTTTCGTCTCCCTCTTATCGATGCCTGCAGAACAAATGAGTCAGATTTTGAGTTAAACAGGCGCTTTCTTCTAAAACAAAACTCAAATACTGTGTGGATGTTGAGTTCAGACAAACTATAAACGTCTGCTCAACATAGTTTGACAAAATTTGGTGCAGTCCAATTTGATAGGAATTACTTTAAAGTTTGGAGATCCCAAGAGCTTTAACGTTTTTAAAAGTCTCTTATGCTCACAAATACTGCATTCATTTGATCAAAAACTAATATTGATACTTTTTTGGGTTGTGCAATTTAAAATAAATCCTTTTCATTTGAAAACATCTTAAAATGTTATTTAATATTTAAGGCTGATACAAGTTGTGTTCTAAATAAAAGCAAACGGCACACAATAGAAGGAATATTTTCCATATTAAAAAGAGTTTTTGTCCTAACCAACACCTGAAATTTATATTTTAGAAACAGCTGAACAACAGAAAGCGGACAATGATCACCTCAGATACACCTCATGTGCTTTATTCAATGTTAAATGCTAACAATACGAGTTTGAATGCCATTTTACAATACATTTATTGCCATATACTGAAAGCAGCAGCAGGGTAGTTCACCTCAGATCTCGAAAATAAAACAAACCATTTGATATTGAACTTCAGAGCAAGCCAACAGATATCAGTGATTCAGCATGTACATTTAATAATGTTAAAAAGGTTTATTATGTATCAAGACTGTAAACCTGACCATTTTGTTGGAGTGCAGTGAGTGCACTATTCTGTGCTTCTGAATGGCTGCATTTAAATTGCTGTGCTGTTTCGTCTTGTGCAAACAGCCTAGTTGCTTATCACTGAAAATCTGGTCATGTAGGGTGTTGTTAGGACATGAGGTTACAATGCAACTTCCTCATCTAATGTTTATGTTTGTAATATTTATATTATCTGCTAATTATTAACCACCTCATGTGGAACTCTGAATCGGAGTCTCATTTCGGAGTCTGCTACTATCCACCTGAGGTCAAATTTCAGTCACAGATGTGTACTTGAGAGCCTTTCTGACTGAAAGAATCAAATACACCGTTTTCCACCAAGGCAACCTGGAGTGCTGAAATATAATTGGCTAAAGTGGCAGTGGGCGGGTTAAATGACTAAACAAAGGCAGCCGTTCCGGCACCTAACGCACACTTTCAAAGCAGAATATCTGACGTCAGTATTGTTTTTCAGATAAACAAGAATGTTCACTTGGCATTTTTCTTAAATATCTGCAAACATATTACATTATTGTTATGCTTTAGAAGAGTCAAAAACTAACATAGAGCACCTTTAAAAGCTGATGAAAGAACAGCTTATGTGAACCATATAATATGAACATCATTTTTTAAATAATTGAAAACATGAATATTTGAAAAATATATTTTGAAACATTTATTAATGCCAATTGCTCAAATGTGTTATGTATTTATAGTGGATTAAAGACCCCCTTTAGGTATGAAATGTATTAGTAAATGTTAAGGATTAACATCCATAAAGATTAGAACTCTTTAATAATATTTATCATAGTGTGTGCGCATGTTAACTAATGTAGTTATTCCTAAAAAATAACAAATCTGATGTTATAGGTAATAACAGAAAATTCTGAAAGGTTGGATAAAAGAAGTATAGAAATATGGAGATTACTTTTTTCCACTAAATCTACAAACAGGCCTGTCACAATAAGGAATTTTTGTTGTCACAGAATTGTTGCGATAAGCGTTTTTATTGTCATTTTTAGATCATTTTATGCAACTGATTATATAATTATTATACAGCAGAATTATAATGCAAACAGCCATAAACACTTTAAAATATGTGGCATTCTTAAGGTTATTTAGATTCTAATTTGATGTTAAAAAGGTAAATCTCCAATTTTATATACTATTAAAAGCCATATTAGGTATATGTCCAACTGTAAACTTTGACACCGTTGAGCTAGAATGTAAATGTCATTGTAAAATGGCTTTAACGTTATTTGTGAGTTTGTAAATGTATATATTGCAATGGCAAAAATGACTGAGGTCATCTCCAAGTATTGCACGATAAGTAGATCTATTGATTATTGTGACAGGCCTAACTACAAATGTACAAATACTTGCAATGTGTTAAGAAGTGGACATAAGACAATTTATATTGTGTGACCTGACCTTTATATCAGATATGTCTCTGTCAGCATGACGTGACCAGTCAGCCGTTCATTAAAGTTGATGTTATTGATGTTTTATTTCCTTCTTTCTGTTTCTTAACTTTTTCTCTTATTTTCTCCTTTAAATTAAAAAAAAATATATTTTTTTATAAGTTTATATATATATATATATATATATATATATATATATATATATATATATATATACAGTATATATATAAACTTTCCCAGAGATGGAAGGGCATCCGCTGCGTAAAAACTTGCTGGATAAGTTGGCGGTTCATTGCGCTGTGGCGACCCCGGATTAATAAAGGGACTAAGCCGACAAGAAAATTAATAAATGAATATATAAAAACACAAAAAATGAAAGGTATTTCCAAAAAAGAAATGTCTGTATGAAATGTTTCTGTAAGCTAGATTCCAAACACATTTCTAACACCTAACATTAGTAGATGCTACTGTTTTAGAAGATTTATATCAATTGACATTTCAAATGTCTTTCAAATGCTCTTTCTTATTTACAAAAAAAGACTTTGCTTCAGACAAACAACGTTGCAATCTTTGGGCGGGTCGTTTGGATCGTACAAGCGTTGAGAAATGTAGGGTTTCTATGAGGTTAAACTCAGGGGACACTTCCTTGGTGTGGCACGAATTTCACAAGTCACCACATTTCTATTTCCTGTGGTTTTCCAGACAACTATCTACACTTGGATGAGTGAGAGGAAGTCCTGAACGCGCCAAACTACAGTTCAGCCGAGAAAGAGAGAGACCCCTCTGACCAGACAACAGCTCCCACAATGCATTAGCGGCTGACGTGCATCACATCCCCCTCTGCGTGCTCTAACTGGAGGTGTTCTGCCTGCTCTACGCTCGTGAGTCACGCTCAAACACCCACAATCTTAAAAATCACACGCAATAATCAGGATGAGGATCAGTGTCATCGTGCTGCACGCAGCAGTACTACAGAACCTGGCATGCCCATATCAATGCTAATGCAGTACTTCCTTTCATACCAATGTGCGTCTGACTCATAAAAAGAGGAAGGCGTTTCTAACACGTTAAAGGCAACAGTTAATGTGGCAGATTTTTCAGAAGATATCAGGGTAGATAGCAAAAACTGAACAGGAACTAAACACAACAGAAACCACAGCTACATCTGCGATCACAGGTGCCAGTAACATGCTCAGATAGAGAAAGTTCATCTATTCGATAAGATCCGAATTGCCATTTTAATAATTATATAAGATTATGTTGTAGACTGACACTCGCTTTTCTAACTGCACACAAAAACACTTTTTGAAAGTCCAAAAGCCACGATTATGGTGTGTTAGATCTTTATTTAGTCTTGTTTACCTGTTCTGTAGTGCTTAAGCCTACATGTCAACATGATGCTGGTTGTTATATGTAATAATCCTTATGTATTGCACATGAATGCCTTTAAAGCAGTGTTTCTCAACCATGTTCCTGGAGGACCACCAACTCTGCACATTTTCCATGACTGTTTCTCAATTCCAA